CCTACTATTTTTGCTTCCGTCATCTTATGACATGAAACTTATCTGCCTAAGTACACCATCTCCAAACTAAATGAAAATATGATGAAGAGGAAGAAAATTTTTTTTTTTTAAATTTAAAAGTTTACAAAATTCACAAGTTTACATTTCTAAATTAGTCCAAAAGAGTTATGGGCAAGACTCAAACCCTACATACTTCCCAAGGCATGTGGCATCTTCCTGATCTAATTAGATAATATATCATGTATGAATGAATAGTTTATTAATTGTGTATTGAATTAATGTATTAAAATTTATAATCTACTAGAAGTTTAAAACAGGACTGAAATACAGAAATAATTATCTCCATTAGTACATTTATGGCATAGCCATAGTTTCTACATGGCCAAGCCATATAAAAACTCAGGTTTGTGCTGCGTAATTGTCCAGGCATAATAAATTCTGAGTATAGTTATCAGTGAGTACAAGTTAGATATTGTACTCTGTAAAATAAAAAAATTATTAGATAAGCCATGATAATCTGGAGAAAAAAAAATCAATTCCTTATGTTAAAGCCTCTAAGATTTCCCAGTTAGTTACTAATATTAACAGCAATTTCCCAGGACTTTTATTAAGGAATATTGAGTTCCAGTTCTCATGTAGTTTCCACAAGATCAGTCAACAACAATGCATCCCCTTGAACTATGGAATAATCTTGATTAACTGACCTCTCAGGGAAAAAATATACCAACATAGCCAAGGAGAGAAACAACAAATGCAGCAGAAACTAACACAACAGTGTAAAGCAATTATACTCCAATAAAAAATAATAAATGGAAAACAACAGCAACAAACCCTCCAGCAGATGCATGTTTAGACTCATTTTGATGTAGTTAAAAAGCCTGACAATTGAAACCCAATGGATATGGGTTCCACTCAGTCTGTCAGTTACCACCAGGTCAGTTCAGTTCAGTTCCTCAGTCGTGCCCAACTCTTTGTGACCCCATGGACTGCAGCACACCGGCCTCCCTTCCAACACCAACTCCCAGAGTTCACTCAAACTCACGTCCATGGAGTCGGTGATGCCTTCCAACAATCTCATCCTCTGTCTTTCCCTTCTCCTCCTGCCTTCAATCTTTCCCAGAATCAGGGTCTTTTCAAATAAGTCAGTTCTTCGCATCAGGTAGCCAAAGTATTGCAGTTTCAGCTTTAGCATTAGTCCTTCCAGTGAATATTCAGGACTGATTTCCTCTAGGATAGACTGGTTGGATCTTCTTGTGGTCCAAGGGACTCTCAAGAGTCTTCTCCAACACCACAGTTCAAAAGCATCAATTCTTTGGCACTCAGCTTTCTTTATAGTCCAACTCTCACATCCATACATGACTACTGGAAAAACCATAGCTTTGACTACATGGACCTTTGTTGGCAAAGTAATGTCTCTGCTTTTTAATATGCTGTCTAGGTTGGTCACAGCTTTTCTTCCAAGGAGCAAGCATCATTTAATTTCATGGCTGCAGTCACCATCTGCAGTGATTTTGGAGCCCAAGAAAATAAAGTCTGTCACTGTTTCTACTGTTTCCCCATCTATTTTCCATGAAGTGATGGGACCAGATGCCATGATATTAGTTTTCTGAATGTTGAGCTTTAAGCCAACTTTTTCACTCTACTCTTTCACTGTCATCAAGAGGCTCTTTAGTTCTTCTTTGCTTTCTGCCTTAAGGGTGGTGTCATCTGCATATCTGAGGTTACTGATATTTCTCCCGGCAATCTTAATTCTAGCTTGTGCTTCATTCAGCCCAGTGTGTCTCATGATGTACTCTGCATGTAAGTTAAATAAGCAGGGTGATGATGTACAGCATTGACATACTCTTTTCCCTATTTGGAACCAGTCTGTTGTTCCATGTCCAGTTCTAACTGTTGCTTCTTGACCTGCATACAGGTTTCTCAAGAGGCAGGTCAGGTGGTCTGGTATTCCCACCTCTTAAAGAATTTTCCACAGTTTGCTGTGATTCACATAGTCAAAGGCTTTAGCATAGTCAATGAAGCAGAAGTAGATGTTTTTTCTGGATATCTCTTGCTTTTTCAATGTTGGCAATTTTATCTCTGGTTCCTCTGCCTTTTCTAAATCCGGCTTAAACATCTGGAAGTTCACGGTTCACGTACTGTTGAAACCTCACTTGGAGAATTTTGAGTGTTACTCGGCTAGTGTGTGAGATGAATGCAATTGTGTGGCAGTTTGAGCATTTTTTGGCATTGCCTTTTTTTGGGACTGGAATGAAAACTGACCTTTTCCAGTCCTGTGGCCACTGCTGAGTTTTCCAAATTTGCTGGCATATTGAGTGCAGCACTTTATCATAGTATCATCTTTTAGGATTTGAAATAGCCCAACTGGAATCCCATCACCTCCACTAGCTTTGTTCATAGTGATGCTTCCTAAGGCCCACTTGACTTTGCATTCCAGGATGTCTTGCTCTAGGTGAGTGATATACCATTGTGATTATCTGGGTCATGAAGATCTGTTTGTATGGTTTTTCTGTGTATTCTTGCCACCTCTTCTTAATATCTTCTGCTTCTCTTAATCTGCTTCTTAATATCTTTTGCTTTTTGTCCTTTATTGTGCCCATCTTTGCATTAAATGTTCCCTTGGTATCTCTAATTTTCTTGACGAGATCTCAAGTCTTTCCCATTCTATTGTTTTCCTCTATTTCTTTGCACTGATCACTAAGGAAGGCTTTTTTTTTTTTCATTTATTTTTATTAGTTGGAGGCTAATTACTTTACAATATTGTAGTGGTTTTTGCCATACATTGACATGAATCAGCCATGGATTTACATGTGTTCCCCATCCTGAACCCCCCCTCCCACCTCCCTCCCCATCCCATCCCTCTGGGTCATCCCAGTGCACCAGTCCTGAGCACTTGTCTCATGCATCCAACCTGGACTGGCGATCTGTTTCACACTTGGTAATATAGGATGGGAGGAAAGCTTTCTTATTTCTTCTTGCTATTCTTGGAACTCTGCATTCAAATGGATATATCTTTTATTTTCTCCTTTGCCTTTCGCTTTTCTTCTTCTCTCAGCTATTTGTAAGTCTTCCTCAGGCCACCATTTTGCCTTTTTGCATTTCTTTTCCTTGGGGATGGTCTTGATCCCTGCCCTGTACAATGTCATGAAACTCCGTCCATAGTTCTTCAGGCACTCTGTCTATCAGATATAATTCCTTGAATATATTTCTCACTTCCACTGTATAATCATTAGGGATTTGATTAAGGTCATACCTGAATCCTCTAGTAGTTTTCCCTACTTTCTTCAATTTAAGTCTGAATTTGGCAGTAAGGAGTTCATGATCTGAGCCATAGTCAGCTCCCAGTGTTGTTTTTGTTGACTGTATAGAGCTTCTCCATCTTTGGCTGTAAAGAATATAATTTGATTTTGGTATTGACCATCTGGTGATGTCCATGTGTAGAGTCATCTCTTGTGTTGTTGGAAGAGGCTGTTTGCTATGACCAGTGTGTTCTCTTGGCAAAACACTGTTAGCCTTTGCCCTGCTTCATTCTGTACTCCAAGGCCAAATTTGTCTGTTGCTCCAGGTGTTTCTTGACTTCCTACTTTTGCATTCCAGTCCCCAGTAATGAAAAGGACATCTTTTTTGGGTGTTAGTTCTAGAAGGTCTTGTAGGTAGGTCTTCACAGAACCATTCAACTTCAGCTTCTTCAGCATTACTGGTCAGGGCATAGACTTAGATTATTATGATACTGAATGGTTTGTCTTGGAAGCAAACAGAGATCATTCTATCGTTTCAGACTCTTTTGTTTACTATGATGGCTGCTCCATTTCTTCTAAGGGATTCTTGCCCACAGTAGTAGATATAATGGTCATCTGAGTTAAATTCACCCATTCCAGTCCATTTTAGTTTGCTGATTCGTAAAATGTCAATGTTTACTCTTGCCATCTCCTGTTTGACCACTTCCAATTTGCCTTGATTCATGGACCTAACATTCCAGGTTCCAATGCAATAGCATTGGAGCATTATAGCATCGAACTTTACTACCATCACCAGTCACACATACAACTGGGTGTTATTTTTGCTTTGGCGCTACATCTTCATTCTTTCTGGAGTTATTTCTCCACTGATCTCCAGTAGCATATTGGCACCTACTGACCTGGGGAATTCATCTTTCAGAGTCTGATCTTTTTGCCTTTTCATACTGCTCATGGGGTTCTCAAGGCAAGAGTACTGAAGTAGTTTGCCATTCCCTTCTCCAGTGGACGATATTTTGTCAGAACTCTCCACCATGACCTGTCCGTCTTGGGTGGCCCTACATGGCATGGCTCATAGTTTGATTGAGTCAGACAAGGCTGTGGTTCATGTGATCAGACTGGTTAGTTTTCTGTGATTGTGGTTTTCAGTCTGTCTGCTCTCTGATGGAGAAGGCTAAGAGGCTTATGGAGGCTTCCTGATGGGAGAGACTGACTGGGTCTTCTGATGGGCTGGGCCATGCTCAGTGAATCTTAAATCCAATTTTCTTTCGATGGGTGGGCTGTGTTCCTTCCCTGTTATTTACCTGGGGCCAAACTATGGTGGGGGCTTCGCTGGTGGCTCAGAGGGTAAAGCGTCAGCTTACAATGCAGGAGACCCGGGTTCGATCCCTGGGTCGGGAAGATCCCCTGGAGAAGGAAATGGCAACCCACTCCAGTACCCTTGCCTGGAAAATCCCATGGACTGAGAAGCCTGGTAGGCCCCAGTCCATGGGGTCACAAAGAGTCAGACACGACTGAGTGACTTCATTACTCATTAAACTATGGTGGAGGTAATGGAGATAATGGCAATCGCTTTCAGAAGGTCCCATGCAGCAGGCCACCACCGCCCCACGCCTCTGCCAGAGACTCCTGGACACTCACGGGCAAGTCTGGGTCAGTCTCCTGTGGGGTCACTGCTCCTTTCTCCTGGGTCCTCGTGCACATAAGGTCCTACTGTGCCCTCCAATAGTCTGTTTCCCCAGTCCTGTGTAAGTTCTGGCAGTGCTATGGTGGGGTTAGTCGTGACCTCCTCCAAGAGGGTTTATGCCGCACCCAAGTCTGCTGCACCCGGAGCTCCTGCCCTGTGGCAGTCCACTGCTGACCTGTACCTCTACAAGACACGCTCAGACACAGCTCTCTCAGTCTCCGTGGGGTCTCTGGGTCCTGGTGTGCACAAGGTTTGTTTGAGCCCTCTGAACGTCTCTGGCAGGTATGGGGTTTGACTCTAAATGTGATTTCGCCCCTCCTACCATGTTGCTGGGTCTTTGTCCTCTGCCCCTGGATGTGGGGTATCTCCTCAAAGTCCCTCCAGCACCATGCAGCCACCGCTCCAGCACCCATCATCTTGCTGGGGCTCCTCTGCCCTGTCAGTTACCACCAATGTGGTCCTAATAAGTCCATTAACTCTTACAGGTCTCATCTGAAAAACAAAATTGTTGTATGGGATTGCTCTAAGGATTAAATAAGATAACGTAGGCATAACACCTATACAGTAGACCCTCAACCAACAATAGCTCCCTCCTTTCATTCTGTTTATATTTCCAACTTCTAGGTTAAAAACGATTCTTGGTCTTTAATGTTACGTGAAATCTTTCTCTCTCTTCTTCAAAAGCATTTGGCAGATAGGAGGTGCTGAATTAATGTGAACTCCCTGTCAGATCTTTATGTGCCTCACCAGGATGCAGGCCTCCACTGAAGCATAACCCCTTTCACATATTACCTGACTTCATCCTCACAGCAGCTGTGAAGCAGACCAGTTCTCATGTCTTCATTCCTAACTCCAGAAGCACTGAGTCAGACTGAAATAAACAGAGGAGTGCATAAGTGTCTGTAAATGTGGTTTAAACAACACCCATCTCTGGGGTAGATGAGCATCAAAGCATTAATGCAGACATACACATTAGAGAGAACAAAATTTTAGAATTTATGCCCCTTTTTTTTTTGTTGTTAAAACTCTTGTTCTGACCACAACTAGAGTCATCATTTTGTGTGTAAAGACAGGGTTCAGGGATTACAAAATGATGCTCTTTTAATTTTTCAAGGACAAACTTGAATGCATTTGTATATTATACTTTTTAGCAATAACAGCCAAGATTAGAAGAATATAAATTTGCCTCTTTTATTTGAAACATTTATATGCTGTGTAACTCTATAAAGTTAAGTATCCTCAGCCTCACATACTTTGTTTTATTTGGGTTATTCATCAAAGGATATGTGAATAAGAGTCTATTTTAAGACACACTGTCTGAAATAACATTTTTTTAAAGGGATAATAGTTTTGAATCCAGTGTATTTTTCATTCATTATAAATCCACTTCTCTATGACTCCCCACCCATTATATGAGTAATAGTCATTACTTCAGGGAGTTGTTGGGGACTTCCTAGAACAAGTAAGTCATTATTCAACTTTGAGCTTCAAAATTAAATTATTCCTGAGTTCACAGTCAGATGATAGTCTTGAGAACCAAGGTTTTCTGGGAGGAATATGTTTTCTAAATTCCAAAATCTTTTTACATTGCAAAAGCAAAACAAGCGTGTCAGAGGCTTTTTTTTTTCCCCCTCGGTCTTAATATACAGAGAAGAAAGGATATCAGGGAAGTCTTGGACATAAAGGATGAAGAAGCCTTTCTAGTGTACAGAGGACTTTGAGGGCTCTGGAGGAGATGAAATTAGGGTAACTCTCCCTGAGTCCTGAGATGGAGCCAGATGCTCCTGGACCAAAGATGGAGGGAGGGAGAATGAGATAGCTGAAAGTGAAAAGTCGTGAGAACATACTGCTTTCCCATTTCAGTCTATAGCCAAAAAAAATGCCTCAGAGTAGTCCTGTAGCCATTGGATTTGCCACAGTAGAGCAGACACTGTATATGACATGTTCAGGCACTCACTCCTCTGCTGCCTTGTGGATGGGGTGGGGGTTGGAGCGAGAATGGGGAATTTGGCAGGTAGCTAATAATTAAGAAACAATTTGCCTTCCAGAGGTTTTGGGAGAAAATAAATGGGGTGGAAAGCGGCTGGAGAGCAGATGGAAAATGCACTGATTCTCAGGGGTTTAACCATTCAAGGACACACCTAGTCTGAAGTCAGTGAGGCCTACCTGAGGTTTTAGACATATATCCTCCCATCATCACAGTGTTACCTGAGATCTCTGTGTCAGGAAACCTCACAGAGAGAAAAGGAAAGGTGTCCTGAAAGACTAAGCACCCACTCCCCAGTGAAACGTATTTTAAAATGAAAAAGAATGAGTCATCTTGAATGGGCTATTCTGTGGTGAAGGTGGTTTCGTGTTTGCTACTGAATGGAGGCTGAGTGCTGAAGAATTGATGCTTTCAAACTGTGGTGCTAGAGAAGACTCTTGGGAGTCCCTTGGACTGCAGGGAGATCAAACCAGTCAATCCTAAAGGAAATCAACCCTGAATATTCATTAGAAGGACTGATGCTGAAGCTGGAGCTCTAATACTTTGGACCAATACTTTTCTGTATTGGGTTTAATACTTTTCTGTATTGGGTCTAATACTTTTCTGATATGAAAAGTTGACTCACTGGAAAAGACCCTGATGCTGAGAAAGGTTGAGGGCAGGAGGAGAAGGGGGATGACAGAGGACAAGATGATTGTATACCATCACCAACTTAATGAACACGAATCTGAGCAAACTCTGGGAGATAGTGAAGGATAAGGAAGCATGGCATGTTGCAGTTCATGGGGTTGCAAAGAGTTGAACATGACTTAAAACTAAACAACAGCAGCTGAATGGGAATGGGGGCTACTGAGCAAGGTGAGATAGTCATATAATTAATTAGCATGTCTGCCTATCTGAGTTGCATCTTTTGCTACTCTTTGGAGAACCAATCAAGAAGTTCTGGTTTTCCCAAAGTTCAGGGTTTGCACTAAATGAATAAGAAATCAGAAACCATTTTACAAGATTATATACTATGTCAGAATTTTCAAAAATAGAAAAGTCTTAAACTAACTGTCTAAACTGCCATTGAATATTGTTCTACACATTCATTGTTTCCCTTGATCAGTATTTATTCTTTAATGAAAATCAAACATTTCCAGATGGAAAGCAATAGATCTTCTACAATATCCTGAATATTCTGCACTATCCTGAAAGCCAAAGAGGACAAAGCTTAGAGAGGCATTCTACTTTCAAACATTAAGGGCACCAGAAGGGTCTGGAGACCTCCTGATGTGCCAGGCTAACCTGTTCACGGCTGGAACTGAAGCGGGGACTGTGGAAGTCTGGGGTTGACACCAGAGCAGGGTATTACTCAGAGTTCGGGGCAGCACTTCTTTACAAATCATTTAAGAAGAATGTCAGTGTTCCAACAACCAGTACGGTCATGTATGCCATATCTAATCTGTCTTGGGCGCAACAGAAGAGAGGAGTGGTCACAGCAGCAGTAGCAACATTCCTCATCCCCTGAGGAGAGAAAACAAACCGTAGACAATTTGCAGGGCTGAAGCTCCTCATTTCTGGTCCCCAGCATCCTGTTTTTTTACTCCCGCCTCTGGGAGAAGAGGACCTGGAAGAGGTTCCTGGCTTGGCAGGATTATAACAGGGGCTGACCTTAGAGCTACTGTCTGAGGGATGTGTTGATCTTCGCCTGCAAGCGCTCTGTAAGTAACAGCAGCCAACGCTGAAGAGAATAAATGATGCATTCATGGTAAATGTGTCTACATGTATGAGTGTTGTGACTCTTGAGTTTTGGGGCTTCACTTAGCAGAGAGGTCAAAGCAAATTTATCTTTTTTTTTTGGTCCAAAAGAGCCTAAAGGCATGAATTTGAAGAGGCCCTAAATATGATCAGTCTAACATCCAGATTCCAAAATTAGCAAGCTAGGTGGGGGTTAATTTATATTCTACAGTATGACAGCTCCAGCAAGAGAGCCCTTAAAAGGCAAACTGGCAAAACCAAAACATTTATCTGTTTCATACCCAACACTATCAATCTAGAATGAAGGTTCGTTTTAAATTGAAGAACTTGTACTTGTACTGAGCATTCTTAAAGGTAACCCAATAAAACCAGTAACTTAAATTGAGTATCCCCCCAAACAGACCTTGGAGATAATGACCTGAGTACAACGGTTGACTAGGGAGCTGATTCTCGCAGCACCACTGGGGGTGGTAAAGGAAGACAGGGAATGTAAGGAAATTAATACAAAGTAAGATACTATGCAGGTAAACACTGTGGGCGACTGAGGTTCAATCCCACTGGGAATCTCTGAGTGATGAGATCATTCCTCAGTTAGGTCACCTGAAGGATGAGGAAACTGGTATCTTCAGTTGCCTCCTTCATTAGCTGAGTCTGTCTTGGGGTATCAACTTCCCAACATTCTGACCTGCCCCAAGAAGGGGTTAGGCATGCCAAAGAAAGCTCTCTAAAGGAAAGTAAAATATACATGCATGTCTCCACAAATGACCGCATTTTGTTTCTTTTAATGGCTGAGTAATATTCCATTGGGTATATACACTATATCTTCCTTATCCATTCATCTGTTGATGGACATTTAGGTTGCCTCCATGTCCTGGCTATTTTAAATAGTGCTGCAATGAACACTGGGGTGCATCTGTCTTTTTCAATTCTGGTTTTTTCAGGGCATCTCAGTCATGGAATTGGTGCCATACACACAACCATGTGTAAAATAGATAGATGGTCAGCGAGAACCTGCCGTACAGCACAGGGAGCTCAGCTCAGTGCTGTGTGGTGACCTAGACAGTAGGATGAGGGGAGGGTGGGAAGGAGGTCCAAGAAGGAGGAAATATATGTATGCATAAGAGCTCATTCTTCAAGAGACGGGAATACCAGACCACCTGACCTACCTCTTGAGAAATCTGTATCCAGGTCAGGAAGCAACAGTTAGAACTGGACATGGAACAACAGACTGGTTCCAAATACGGAAAGGAGTACATCATGGCTGTATATTGTCACTGGCCTTATTTAACTTATATGCAGAGTACATCATGAAAAATGCTGGGCTGGATGAAGCACAAGCTGGAAGCAAGATTGTTGAGAGAAATATCAATAACATCAGATATGCAGATGACACCACCCTTATGGCAGAATGTGAAGAACTAAAGAGCCTCTTGATGAAAGTGAAGGAGGAGAGTGAAAAAGTTGGCTTACGGCTCAACATTCAGAAAACTGAGATCATGGCATCTGGTCCCATTATTTCATGGCAAATAGATGGGGAAACAGTGGAAACAGTGACAGACTTTAATTTGGGGTGCTTCAAAATCACTGCAGATAGTGACTGCAGCCATGAAATAAAAAGACGCTTACTCCTTGGAAGAAAAGTTATGACCAACTTAGCATATTAAAAAGCAGAGACATTACTTTGCCAAC